ACCAGAGAACTTAAGAAGAAAGGAAATAAAGCATTGGTGGTTGAATCAGAATCTGAAGACGAAACTTCTGAATCAGATGATGAAATTAAAGCCTTTGCCAAATCTCTGGCCTTGATTACAAAGTAGTTCCAGAAAAAGTTTATCAAGAAACCCTACGAACGAAAAGAATTCAAGAGGGAAAGGTACCAGTCATCCTATAAAAGGAAGCCATCGAAATTTCATCAGAGGGCATATAGAAGAGATGGAAGAGAAGAAATAGAAGAAAGAAGAGAGGACAGAAGAGACGAGAGGAAGGAGGACAAGGATGGAAGGAAAAATGACCTCCGCTGCTTCAGGTGCAGAAAACTTGGTCATTTTTCCAAAGAATGCAGAGGAGGATTAGTAAAGGATGCTGACTATTACAAGAACAAATACAAGTATAATCCTAGAGAGCGAAGCCTGATGGCCGAAAGAGAAAATTGGGTGTCTGATTCTTCATCAGATGATGAAGACAAAGCACTCATATGTCTGATGGCCACGTCCAAAGCATAATCTGTCTCCGACTCTGATGATCAGGTATGTGAGTCTACTTTAAATGAAACCAACTTTGCTCCATCTGAGCTAGAGTTAAGGGTTATAAAACTTTCAGAAAATTTCTTTAAATTAAATTTTGAAAAATCTGAAAGGATAAAAGCGGAAAAAGAAGCAAGTTTCTAGAAAAGAGAGACTGACCTTCTAACCGAAGAAAAAAGCCGAACTTGCTAAGGAAAAGACTCGCATCAGAACTCTTAAGAAATCAGAGGAAGATAAAGTTTTGGAATTAAACAAACTAATAACTAAGGACCTAGAAAAGAAAACTAACGCCTTAAAGGAATCCGAGGCAGAGAGACTAAACTCAGTTGCTCTTAAAGATTTCTTTCAAAAAGAGCGGGAAATTCTTCACCAGAAACTTCAAACCAATGAACTTCTGATGAAGAAGTACAAAGATGCCCAAGACGTTTATGAAAAATTAAATGGTCGAATGGACACTCAAGGGATTAGATTCAATGAATTGAACTCTTTCATCAAATCAAAGAAATCCACCCTTGAATCTACTTTCAAACTTGGATGCATTCAAAAACCCGACTTTACTCCAAAACCAAACTGTCGTTTCAAGACAGGATTTTGAAAATGTGGTATACGAGAATAGTACAAGTAAGAATTTTTATGGAAGAATTGACACCTCTAAATAAGAAACCGATGGAAACCCTATGGTTAAACCAGAATGTTTGATTGTCAATTTCATTCCATTAGCAAGTACCGTTGATGAAAAAGAGAATTCTAATGAGGAAACATCAGCTGATGAATCGATGAACCATTCAAGTAAAATTGAAAGTTYATCAAAGTCAGAGTCGATGAAACCTCAAGCAGATCACTCTGAAGCATCAACCTTTGAACCCACATCTTCCACTTCAATCCATACTAATTTTTATTTTGAGAAATCAGCAAGGGACTTTCTCGATTTTGAATCCAAAGAAGAGATAATCTGTGAATCACCAAAGATCATTGACAGTAAAAAGCCTCAAAACTTAAAACCCTCAATGAAATATGTTATTCCTTCATTGATGAAATCTTCAGACAAAGGAAAGCGAAAACTGAAAGATAGCAAATCCGCCAAAGATAACTCACAAGGCCTTAGTACATCTTTCAAGTTCATCAAGTTTACTCGTGAGCAAAAACAGAAGTGGCCTACCTCTGAGAAAACTAACCACCACTTTTCCTCTCATCCAGCTGAAGAAAAGCAGACCTTCCTCA